CGTTGCCTGCTGAGGCGGTGTATGTCTCGACCTTCTCCTTCTTGGCTTCTTCAATCTGCTGCATAAACCACTCTCTGGATGCGTCACTCCATCCAGTCATCGCTTCTTGCAGAAGCTCACGTCGTGCCTGCTGACATGTCGAGCGGATGGCTTCTGCGATAGCGTCGGGGGTGCATCCCTCCACAGCCTTGCAAGCCTGGGCTGTCCTGCTGTTCGGATAACGCTTCGCGAAGCTCTTCACTCTCTCGACGAGATCAGCTTCGAGGACAGAGGCATCCACAAGTCCGCTCTGCGTGTATTGGCATGATCTCCGATACAGCAGGTTGCGAACATTTTCATCATACTGAAGAACCATACTTAGAAAGCTATTTGAAGTATACAAACCTCTCGCTTGCAGCTTCCTTGGCGCCCTGGCGGCTTCCCCTACACCTGACGAGGAGCCATGCTGCCGAAAATAACGGCTAAAAAAAAAAACCCTAAACCCTAAACCCTAAACCCTAAACCCTAAACCCTAAACCCTAAACCCTATTATTATTATTATTATGTGAGTTTATTAGAATGCTAGAATGTTGCTCGGCCTCGTTGTGGGCTTTTGCAATTTGATCCTAGTCTAAAGAGGCGCTCGAGCACTGGGAGTACACGGCCTACAATGCGAACCCTGCTTCTGAGGCGTCTTTCTACTCTCTACTTCTGCTGTCTTCTCTTGGCTTCCTCAGCCTCAGTCAGGAGAGTTGCCTCTCCTCACCTTGGCCTTCGGTCACCACCTACTCTACCTCCATTCAGCTTCCTCAGCCTCAGTCAGGAGAGTTGCCTCTCCTCACCTTGGCCTTCGGTCGCCACCTACTCGTCCTCCATTCAGCTTCCTCAGCCTCAGTCAGGAGAGTTGCCTCTCCTCACCTTGGCCTTCGGTCGCCTCCTACCTTCTCTCCTTACCTTGAGCTCAGCTCAAGCTCGGTACGGGCTCGCCCCGTCTTCTTCCTCGCCCTCGCCTTGCTCTTCCTCCATGTCTTCCTCTTCTTCGCCATCTTCCCTCATCTCCACTCGCAGTCGGTCCTTCTTGTCCACCTTCAGCGAGCAGGCCAGCACATGCATCTCTGCGAATTTACTCAGTGCTATGAACAGGAGGCTAAGAGATCGACGCTCTATGTCGTCGCTCTCCGCCTCCTGCTCAAGCTCAGCAGCTGCCGTTGCCCGTGGCGAGAACGCGCTGCCCCTCCTTGCCTTCTTGCTCTCTCCTTGCACGCGAGTCCAGCGCTTGCTCTGCAGCCACTTCCCCAGCTTCTCCTTGAGCGCGTTGCGCCCAACTCCCTGCTCCTCTGGCATCTTCGCCCACTCTCCCAGCGACATGAACTCCAGGCTCCCCGGAGAGTAGAACGTGTCGTGGAGGTTGCCAACGGCCTTGTCCAGGACCAGCTTGATCGGCTCGCTCGTCCCTGCCTCGTTCAAAGAAGCTGCATCTTCGATGACTGCTGACAGCTCGCTGACGAGCTGCATGTCCTCTTGGCTTGACGGAGATGCTGCCTCCATTGTGATCCTCTCCAGGTCTGTAAACTCCAGCCACTCTCCCTCGCTCTCCTCCTGTCGCTGCGCTGCGTCGCTGGTGCCCCGCTGACCAGCCGCCTCAGAGTCAGGCTCCTTGTCGAAGCCGACTGCTTCGAGCTTGGTTGCTGCGCCTTCGAGATAGAAGGGCAGCTCCTTCATCATGCGTCGAGCATCCTCCGTGGAGCCGAGGAGGATGCATAGCTTGGACCCGTTCCAGGACTTGGTGTTCAAATCCTCCTCCATGTCGATGCCTTCAACGTTGATCTCGAGCCTGTTAGCGATCTCCAACAAGACTCTCTTGACTCTTGCGATAGACGTGTTGCCGCCGTTGCACAGCCCCTCCATCTCCTTCCTCGTGAAGCGACCAGATGCCGCCGTCGACTTGATGATGATCTTGATCTCCTTGCCGTCCTTGCCGCCTGCCTTCTTCTGCATCCTTGATGCCTTCTTCAACTTATTTCTGGACACAAAACGATCAGCTGTCAACTCGACTGCGAGCGCCTCTCTGATCTTCGGGTCCTCGCTGAACAGAGTCAGGTGTACTCCCTCCATCGCTTCGCTCTCTCGGAAAGCTCGAAATGCTGTATCATTCGCCTCTGGGCAGCTCGAGGAGACGATCCACTCCACCTCCCTCTGTCTCCAGATGACGTTGGCCCCTACAGCGATGAAGCCTTTCTGACCTAAGCCTTTGTGGACTTGCTGTCCTGGCGCCCCAGCGACCAGCATGCCTGCCAGCGGCTGGAGTTGGACCGCTGCAAGGGACTGGCGCAGCAGCTGATAGCGATAGACGGCAGCTATCTCAGCCGTTGTCATGCCGCCCAAGGTTAGCAGGTGAGTCAGCTCTGCCAAGCTGCCCCCTTTGCCCCAGGGTCCTCTCTTGGCTCGAATCTTGAAAGATCGATCGTGCACGATGCTCACATGTACAGCTGTGAACTTGCGACCATCGATCGCGAAGTCCTCTCTTCCCTGCCAGAGCTTCTCCGCTTGTGCATTGCGGAGGAAGGAAACAGTCACCGGGATCTCCTCAGCACTCGCTATCTCGGGTCTATACGGAGCCTTCCACATGATTGCTTTACTCTCTTGCACTGAGTCTACGATCAGTCCGATCTCTTCAAATTTCTTCTTCAGCTTTTCTTCATGGTTGACATACACCGAGGAGATGCCCAGGAGAGTCATGGAGATGAAGGAAGTTACCTCGTTGCCTGCTGAGGCGGTGTATGTCTCGACCTTCTCCTTCTTGGCTTCCTCAATCTGCTGCATAAACCACTCTCTGGATGCGTCACTCCATCCAGTCATCGCTTCTTGCAGAAGCTCACGTCGTGCCTGCTGACATGTCGAGCGGATGGCTTCTGCGATAGCGTCGGGGGTGCATCCCTCCACAGCCTTGCAAGCCTGGGCTGTCCTGCTGTTCGGATAACGCTTCGCGAAGCTCTTCACCCTCTCGACGAGATCAGCTTCGAGGACAGAGGCATCCACAAGTCCGCTCTGCGTGTATTGGCATGATCTCCGATACAGCAGGTTGCGAACATTTTCATCATACTGAAGAACCATACTTAGAAAGCTATTTGAAGTATACAAACCTCTCGCTTGCAGCTTCCTTGGCGCCCTGGCAGCTTCCCCTACACCACGCGTGCAGCCATGGTGCCTGAAATAACCGGCGCTAGCCATGGTGCCTGAAATAACCGGCGCTCCTAAACCCTAAACCCTAAACCCTAAACCCTAAGGATTACCCATCTCTCCATCCTCTGAAGCACCATCAATTACATCCTCGCTGGCTGCGATTGCCTCCTCGAATTTTCCTCGCAACTTCTTAAACTTCTCTAGAGCATCCTTGAATTTCTTCCCATTCTTCCAAATGTACCCAGCATGCAGAAACAACGCCGTGACCTGAATCTTCCACTCCAGCGGTCGGAAGAGAATTTTTCTAGACCTTCTGGAGACGGCTCCCACATTTCATGAAATTCTCCAACAAACGATCCAGTCTCGTCAATCGGAAACAAGTCCAACAGTTTTAAGAAACAAGCCCCAAGATTCGGACGAAAACGACTCATGGCACCTGAGAAAGGAAGGAACAGGTCCTCGAGTTTTTCCTTGGAGGTAACCTTCCCATGCCTTCAGCTTGTCGACCTGAACATCACCATGGCTTCGTTTCAACTCCTCTTGCAGATCTGGCATGCTCATGATCGTCAACTTGGAGTTACCAATACCGTTCCAAAAAAATGAGTAACAGCGTACAGTACAACAACCAGGAGCCTTAAAGAGCCTTCAAACTCGTTGTCAATTCGACGCACAAAGACCAAGAGCCCTTAAACTCGTTGTCCTTGGAATCTTATCGTAGAGTCTTTTTGTATTCCTTTGTTCGTGAATACAAAAAGAAAATTTTCTTTTTGTATTGGAATCCATTCCTGACTCCTAGAGTCTGTGCACAGATGAATGACTAGTAGAACAGCTCAACAGCTGACTGATAAGTCCAAAGACCAAGACTCACAGATGATGTGCGCACGAAGACACCAATGACTTTCACAGCCAACCAAACACCTCAGATAACTCAGATCAACTTCCCAACAATCCCCAGCACTTTATTCCCAACACTCGTAGCAGCAAGACCAACCAAACAGCTTCCCTTCACACACCACCGCCTTACTTCCACCACTGTACGAGTGCTGCCTCTTCGACAGCCGGCGCCTCTTGATTCCTCCGGCGCCGCCTCAGCTTCCCCAGGCTCCAACCAACCGGATCTTCTAAGTCACAGACTAAGCTCCAGCCCACTAGCTTGGACCTGCAGGCTTCACTTGGTTCACAACCTGATTAGACGCATCCCTTGAACTTATCGCGTCTGAAAGAACTTCTGAGAGGTTTGTCAGAACCTGAGTTCTTACACGCTGATCACGATTCCTTTGCAACGGTCACGGTTGGTCAGGACAATTATTATTTTAATACTGTATTGACTGAAAAAGAAAGGCAAACTGGATTTTATTTTTCTGCCGGAATCCCTTCGATTTTTTAAAATGAATCCGATCCGTCCGAAAGTTTTCATCGCAACCGTCATATAACGGTTGGAGCTATGGAGCACAAGGACAAGTGTCCGCACAGCATGTAGATTCAGATTGGAAAGCAGAGAGGGAGCAGAAGGAAGAAGTGAGCATGAGAGGAGGGGAGGGAGGAGGCATAATGGCAGGGCAGTGGCAGAAATTATGTTCTGAAGCACAGAGAGACGAGGTGAGACTGGGGATTGGACGGAAACAGAGATATAGGGAAAGGCAGGTCCGAATAAAAAAGCAACTTGTGTCTGAGCAGTGAGTGAAGGTCACTAGTATTGGTTTGCAAGATTGAGCATACCAAACAGGTATAGAAGACTGTTGCCAACACGTCTCTCAAGGATTGGTTGTTTTTTGGGGGAAATAATATGCATCCTTTATAGGAATTGGATCATTGGATTGTTGGAGGCTCACTATAAGATGGCCAAAGACAGCAAAGATCAAAAAGCTCAAGAATCGGGAAAAGTATCTGATGAAAATGCGAAGGCAGAAAAGCCCGCTGTCCTTATAGACCCTGTTACAGCAGCAATGCTGGGTATTCATCTACTCTTGATTTGATTGATCGATCTGACCATCACATGTTTTAGAGTTAAAGAATTCCATGCAGACGATTGACAAAGCTGTCACCTCTAAGGAGAACAGATTTATGTCTCGAGTGATACGCCAGGTCACCAAGCTACGCCGACTTCTCAGCAAGAAAGTCCTGCTAAAGGCTCTAGAAACTTATGTTTCTCCTGACTCGCCTGTAATCGAAGGCGTGGTTGCTTTTGTAGAGGGTGTGACAGAAGACGACGTAATGCAAGTTGAAGCTCCTGCTACTGCCTCCCAAGAAATTGAGAAGAATGCCGTCATCGATAAGAAGGCTGAAGAAGAAAAGAATGCGGAGATCGAGAAGAAAGAGCGAGAGGAAGCTGCTTTCTACAAGAAGATGTTGAGTATCCCAGAAGCAGAGTCCTTTGTTCAACTCCTCGTGACTATCTATCTGCTCGACAAGAAATATCTTGACAATGCAATCTCCTGTGCATCTTCTTTGATACAACGTGCTCAGTCTTTCAACAGGAGGTATTTCGTGGAAATTTTCCTTGTCGAAACAATTTTTAATGTGCCCTGCAGGACTATGGATCAAATTTTGTCGAGAGGATACTTTTACTGGGCAAGGTGCATGGAACTCACAGGAAAATCATCGCAAATCAGAAACGAGTTGCTAGCCGCGTAATGCTCGTTCATCTTTTGCCACAATTCGACTTACTTCATACTTCAGGTATAGGACGACGGCTTTGAAGCATGACCAAATTGGACAAGCCACTCTCTTAAACCTTCTCCTACGCAACTATCTGGAGTTCAATCTCTACGAACAGGCAGATACGCTGATGAGGAAAACTTCGTTTCCGGAGGGAGATGCCTCAAACAACCAGCTTGCAAGATACCTGTACTATACAGGAAGAATCAAGGCTGTCCAACTTGAATACACCGATGCGTAAAATTCATCGAATGTCGGCGATCGATTCATTCACTGTCTGTTGTAGGTTCTTGAATCTTCAACAAGCCGCAAGGAAAGCTCCTCAGCAAAGTGCTCTTGGATTCCGAAAAACGGTTTTTTAATATATTTCTGTGCATCGGAATACTTACATAACTATGCAACAGGTTTACAAGTTTTCAGTAATTGTTCAACTTCTTCTTGGCGAGATTCCAGATCGCTCGACGTTTTCACAGAAAGGAATGATTGCAGCGCTGAAGCCATATCTTCAGATATGTCAGGCTGTACGGGTTGGAGATTTGGGGGCATTTCACCGGGCAATGCAAGAGCATGGGGATACTTTCAAGTCTGACAAAACCTACTCGCTCATCGTTCGTCTCCGCCACAACGTGATCAAGACTGGCCTGAAGAAGATCAATACGGCATATTCGAACATCAGCCTTGAAGATGTCTGCGCCAAGTTGTGTCTCGAGTCCGTTGAAGACACTAGGTTCATCGTGGCCAAGTGCATCCAGGACGGCGTAATAGACGCAACCATCGACCACGAGACCAACACAATGATGTCCAAGGCTAACTTGGACATTTACACCACAAGCGAACCTCAGATGCAGCTGCACAAACGAGTGGCGTTCTGCTTGGACATGCACAATCAAGCGGTCAAGGCAATGAGGTATGCAGAGAATACCAAGACAGAGTGGGAGTCAGCTGAGGAAAGACGCGAGCGCATGAAACAGGAAGAGGAGAGGATGAATAGCATGGATTCGGACGATGATTTCTGAGGAGTTGACTGCTACCACTGACGTTCAGGAAGTTAGCAAAGAAGAAGCTCGTGTGAAGGAGAAAGACTCAATAAACTTGATAGCTTCAAAGTTTGCTTGATCATTTTATAATTCGTCAAAAGGCATTCTGGCCTCGTAACGCACTTGCCATGGAAATGAAGAGATCGAGCTGCCAGTCTCTTAGATTCGTACTTGGCACGTATGCAAGTTTACCTTGCTGCGGATGTGGTTTGATGGAGACGCTTCTTCTTGCAAGGAAACTGCAACAAGGCGTTGTTTGAGATCCTCCAACTTGCTGCAATCTTGATCTGAGCAGCACAGAGCAAGCATGCCCCTTGTCCTGGCCAGATCGAGTCACGTCAAGAGCACCACCAATGCGCTACACTCACTCCAGCAGACTCACAAAAGCTTCAAGCCTGGAAATGAGCGCTGTCTCCTCCCCTGCTGCTTCCATAAGTCAGCATCAGCTGTGAACGGAATGTAAACCTCCGATCATGTTCATCGCCTCCAGCAGAATTCCAGGATTCGACTTGGCAGCTTCCGCTGCCACTTGTACAGATCCTCTCAACTTAGACTGGAGTAGACTCAGCATGGCCTCAGCTATCGTTCTTCGCTCCTCCTCCCCTTCCTCATTTGCTTCACTGCCTGCGCCATCGAATCTCTGAACCATAAGATGGAGAGCCGTCCGAAGACGATGAGGGTCTGTCTCTTCCTTGAGCATTCTCATCAAAAATGGACTGAGTAGCCTACGCAGAAAACGTCGAATCTTCATTCTGCTCATCCGCTTGGTCACAATCTCGACCCGCTGCCAGTCTCCCTCGGAACCCGACTCCTTGTCTTCGATATTCATCGCTACCGTGAGAAGAAAGCTCAACACGCTCTCTACTGGTTGAATGCTGCTGTCTGACAAAGCACACAACACATCGACTGCATACGCCATGACAGGAGGTGAAACTTCGGGGAGAACAAGGACATCGGAAAGTGCTGCCAGCATCTTATCTGTGAGGGGTGCGAGGTAGTAGAGGAGTTCCAACGCAGCTGTCTGACAAGAGGCAGGAAGGCTTACAAAAGGCCCAGCCTGCATTTCACTGGCCCTCATCTGAGCACGAAAGAAGGGAACGAGCAGTTGCTGAAGAGTGGCTCCTCCTCCGCACATTGTCTGGGCCGAAACGGAATGCTTCCCCTCGCCTGATACTCTCCTTGCCAACTTGCCGAGCAGGAGCAGGCAGTCCAGCGAGAGCTGGGGGTCGCGATCCTGAAGGGTCCAAAGCAGCTTTGGCAGCGCAGCGATCCAGCGGCTGGCATGAGGAGGAAAGGAGGTGGGCCATGTCTCCAGCTGCTGTGCAATGAAAGAGAGTCCAGCTCGCTTGAATGAGGAACGACTCTGCGACGCCTCCCAGCAAGAGGTGAAGCAGTCAAGAAGATCCTGCTCTACCGCTCGCTCTCTCCCTTCCATGCCGAGATACAAAACCTCATGTGAAGCATTTCGAACCAGCAGAAGCGAAACGGATGGGAGAAGCTCAGCTGCTGTCTCTGCTATTGCCTTGACAGTGGAGGGTGAAGGCAACGGATCTGCTCCTCCTCGCTTGCCACTGGCAGCTCGCGTTGATTTTGTCAGCACGATCCTCAGCTGCTCGAATTCATGTAGAGAGAAATTCAGCAAGTCCTGACGCATGTGGAAGTTACCACGTGAGATGAGGTCACAAGACAAGCAAGTCGTTGCGACAGACAGGATGGCACGGTTGAGAAACTTCAGCTCAGTTTGTGAGGCTGCTAGCAAATCCTCAGCTGCAAGAGGAAACTTGACAAGGAGCGAACCGACCGCTGAACCCACTTGACACTTGACAAGCTGCCATGGAGCCATCTTGGTCGGCACTTGTAGACGAATCTCTTGCAAGCAGCTGGCAGCTAACTGGAAAGTCCGAACCACCTGGATAGCTGAGCTGACAAGGCAGCGCGAGACGCGCGAGTCCGCAGCAGAAGAAGGGGACTGCAGACTCTCCTTCCAGATCTGCTCCAAGAGAGGGAGAGAAGAGGAAAAGAAGCCCAGCAGCATGTAAGCACCCTCATGTTCCCTTGGCTTCTCATGCCTATGCCATGAACACTCTCCCAGTCTCACAATGTTATACTCTTCTTCTCTCCATTCCAGCTCCCCTCCTGTCTCGTCCTGGTTCTTCTTTGGTTCTGAAGAAACTCGACCTGCATCACCTCCTCCCTCCTTCGAGCTCCTTGGATCGGCTTGTTCTTTGCTAACGAGCTCAAAGAAAGAGCTCGCAGGCGGCCGACCCTCGAAGTTGGTCAAGGCAACAGCACACAAGAAGGCGTGCATGCGCTCAAGGATGAAGAGTCGATCTCTTGGTGAGATCGTCCGTAACCTCGGTGCTGACGACAGCAATCTCAGAGCGTCCTTTCTAGAGGAGGAGGAGGCGACGCTGATACCTCCTGCCACTTCCACTCCGCTCAGCATGTGGATGAAAATGGGGAGCAGCTGGGCAGACAGCTGGCAAACTACCTTGGGATACTTGGGAACGAGGTCGTGAAGGAGCTCTAGAGCTGAGCTTCGGATCGACTCACTAATGTGTGAGAGTCCTCCACACACGTGAATTAGGTAGGCGTTGAGGTAGGGAGCTAGCACGCCTTCCTGCGCCTGACAGAGGACCAGGTTCATGAGCGAGCGAAGCTCTCCTCGCACCGCCGCATCTGCATCCGAGACCATCGATGAGATTCTGTCCAGCACAACTCCAACGTGCGAGGAAAGCAGCGAAGGATGGAGAGAGAAAAAATCCTTCACTCCCGCCACACATTCCTTCCTGACATTGGCACTGTAGTGCGAGGCGTGAGAAAGAACGTCGGCTAGCGTTAAGCCCCTGCTGTTGACTTCCTTGCCGCTCCTGTCCACCGCAACTGACTGTCGAACAAGATTCAGCTTCTTTGATTGAATCGTTGTGCTCGTCTCATTCTCTTTCACAAGCTTTCGCCCTAACTTAACCTAAAATCCGTAAGTTCGTATTGTTCTCAAGGAGACGACGTACTTTCTTCTTCTTGAAGTCTGCAGGCTGCTTGTTCTTTGCTTTACCCTTACCCTTCTTCTTCTTGATCCCCTGCAGGTCCGGCATGGCACCCAAGTTCCCCTACAAGATCACTACGCCACCGTGAAGCCACTGCACAAAGAAACTTTCTGCCGAAAACAAGTATCAGAGCAGCATGGGAGTAGAGCATGGGACTAGAGCATGGGAGTAGAGCATGGGTGTAGAGCATGGGTGTAGAGCATGGGAGTAGAGCATGGGAGTAGAGCATGGGACTAGAGCATGGGACTAGAGCATGGGACTAGAGCATGGGACTAGAGCATGGGACTAGAGCATGGGACTAGAGCATGGGAGTAGAGCATGGGTGTAGAGCATGGGAGTAGAGCATGGGACTAGATCTGTAACTTTGTGGCACTCAAGTAGAGCATGGGAGTAGAGCATGGGAGTAGAGCATGGGAGTAGAGCATGGGAGTAGAGCATGGGAGTAGAGCATGGGAGTAGAGCATGGGAGTAGAGCATGGGAGTAGAGCATGGGAGTAGAGCATGGGAGTAGAGCATGGGAGTAGAGCATGGGAGTAGAGCATGGGAGTAGAGCATGGGAGTAGAGCATGGGAGTAGAGCATGGGAGTAGAGCATGGGAGTAGAGCATGGGAGTAGAGCATGGGAGTAGAGCATGGGAGTAGAGCATGGGAGTAGAGCATGGGAGTAGAGCATGGGAGTAGAGCATGGGAGTAGAGCATGGGACTAGAGCATGGGAGTAGAGCATGGGACTAGAGCATGGGAGTAGAGCATGGGACTAGAGCATGGGAGTAGAGCATGGGAGTAGAGCATGGGAGTAGAGCATGGGACTAGAGCATGGGAGTAGAGCATGGGAGTAGAGCATGGGAGTAGAGCATGGGAGTAGAGCATGGGACTAGAGCATGGGACTAGAGCATGGGAGTAGAGCATGGGACTAGAGCATGGGAGTAGAGCATGGGAGTAGAGCATGGGACTAGAGCATGGGGACTAGAGCATGGGAGTAGAGCATGGGACTAGAGCATGGGAGTAGAGCATGGGACTAGAGCATGGGACTAGAGCATGGGACTAGAGCATGGGAGTAGAGCATGGGAGTAGAGCATGGGACTAGAGCATGGGACTAGAGCATGGGACTAGAGCATGGGACTAGAGCATGGGACTAGAGCAAGGGACTAGAGCATGGGACTAGAGCATGGGAGTAGAGCATGGGTGTAGAGCATGGGACTAGAGCATGGGAGTAGAGCATGGGAGTAGAGCATGGGACTAGAGCATGGGAGTAGAGCATGGGACTAGAGCATGGGACTAGAGCATGGGACTAGAGCATGGGACTAGAGCATGGGAGTAGAGCATGGGAGTAGAGCATGGGAGTAGAGCATGGGAGTAGAGCATGGGAGTAGAGCAAGGGACTAGAGCATGGGACTAGAGCATGGGACTAGAGCATGGGACTAGAGCATGGGACTAGAGCATGGGACTAGAGCATGGGAGTAGAGCATGGGACTAGAGCATGGGACTAGAGCATGGGACTAGAGCATGGGAGTAGAGCATGGGAGTAGAGCATGGGAGTAGAGCAAGGGACTAGAGCATGGGAGTAGAGCATGGGACTAGAGCATGGGAGTAGAGCATGGGACTAGAGCATGGGACTAGAGCATGGGACTAGAGCATGGGACTAGAGCATGGGACTAGAGCATGGGAGTAGAGCATGGGAGCAGAGCATGGGACTAGAGCATGGGACTAGAGCATGGGACTAGAGCAAGGGTGTAGAGCATGGGACTAGAGCATGGGTGTAGAGCATGGGAGTAGAGCATGGGAGTAGAGCATGGGGGTAGAGCATGGGAGTAGAGCATGGGACTAGAGCATGGGGGTAGAAGCACCAGGGGCAGGGAGGAGCACGTGAAGTCATTTGAAAGGCAACGCCGAGTCACATAGCTAAAATCGGGAACGGACGGACAGATGTGAGCGCAAGGAAAAGGAGTGAAGGAGAAAGAAGAGGGAAAGGGACGACAGACAAGGTCAAGGATGTCCTGAGAGAAGGGGAACACTCACATGACAAGCAGACGATGATCAGAGGTAGTGACAAGCAGACGATGATCAGAGACAAGCAGCATCGAGGCATCGTCGTTCATGCTCGTAAAATGATGAGCACCTCTTACAACATCCTGCTTTCACTCTGCCTACTATTCGATCTGCCCTTGGGGGTTGTAGGGCTGGAGAGATTCGCTGCAGCTTCTTTCTTTGATCCGAGGTCGCTCAACGAGACTGGTCTGCCTCTCAATGGCCTTGCGTGGGCTCAACACTGTGTCTCGCGATGCAGTGTCGCGTGCATGCAAGCAGACATTCCTCTGAGTCTTCTGCTGAGGATTTTGGATTGGGACCAAGACGAAGATTGTGCGTACAGGTGCCTGCATGCCTGCTTGGCCGTAGCAATCGACAACGGGGGTCGGATGTGGAAGTACAAAGGCAAGTGGCCCCACACGAGATTTCTTGGGATGCAGGAACCAGCATCGGTGTTGTTCTCATTCTTTAATGCTGTCAGCCATGTCTTAGGATTCAAGTTGTTGTTTGAAATAAGGAGAAACATGGTACGGACTGCTGGCAGCACAGTAGTTGATAGAAACCTGGTGGAGCACGTTGAACGGCTGCTAGCAATGTCCCTTTTGTGGGTTTCTGCCTGGATGGGTTCGATGGTGTTTCATTCACGTGACAACTGGGCAACAGAGAGGTACTCATTTCTACGAGACTGGCTGAAATTTTGATGAAGATATCTCAGGTTAGATTACTACCTTGGAAATGTTGCGATGGTGTGGATGGTCTACTCAGCTGTGATGCGAGCAGCCATCATCCATGAAGCAATCTCGGGTGTTACTACCCAAAGAGTTTTACAGCTGTCATTGTTTGGAGGAGTTATGGCACACATTATTTCAGGTTGGCACAAGATGAACTACTCCCAGAACATGCAGGTAATGATCGTCCTAATGGTTGCCAACACATGTGCTTGGCTTTCAGTTTGTCTTAAAATGAAACACAACTTTGTCAGGCTGTTCTACATTTCAACAGGTTTGTGAATTTGTTGCATCGAGATCTCATCATTAATTTTCAGGTTTGACATATGCGGCTGGTGCCCTAGAAATCTTCGATTTCCCGCCTGTCGCTGGGTCTCTGGACGCACATGCGGTCTGGCATCTTGCAACGCCATACCTTTCTTGGATGTTCTACAGGTTTCTAGCGCAAGATGCCATTGGGCTTGTCGAACAGCAGGCGAAGCGCGCCTCATAAATCACAAAAGACTACAAGTTAAAAAAGTTGCAAGCAGCATGCCACGACCAACGTGTTTCTTTGGTAGATCTCTTCTATTGAATGCTCGAATGATCAGATCACAAATAAAGACTTTTTACATAGTGTGAAACTGCGAAACAAAATAAGCGAACGAAACTCGGATAAAGTTGTGTGCACTACCTTCACGTTTTCCAACAGATGAAGAATGCAGAATTTCTTTTCACCAATAGTTGTGAAAGTCGAGTTGCAGAATTCCAAAGCGCTTTTACGTTGACCGTAGATCGATCGAAGGTTGTAGAGTTCCTAGAGTAACATATCACGAGAACTAAAAGCTTCAGAACTCGACGAGTGAAATCTAAGACTTCTAAATGGCGATCTCATGAAGAAAAGGAAACATACAAATATGTACCAAACTGAAGATTAATGCAAAATCGAATTTCAACAAACTCATCATTGTATCGAAATAAGTTGTCAGCGATCTGCTCATCCTCTACCGAAGTGAAAGCGACATGAAGCAAACACCACAAAAACGTCCCCTTTGCCCTTACTTTCTGATCCTCGCTTCAAAGCTCTCACAACCGCTCATGACATTGCCCTTGCCAAACAACTACTCGCTTCACTCGCGCAAGAATAGGCATCCAATATCGCCATTGCAGTGCCTCACCTGTCCCATCTCTTGCTATGAAACTGTTTCCCTCCTCCCCCTTACTATACGGCTGAGCCCTCCTCCCTACATTGCCATGGTGCCTCCCCGCCTCCTCGCATTGCCATGGTGCCTCCCCGCCTCCTCGCATTGCCATGGTGCCTTGGCTCCCCTCTCCTCTCTTACCTCCATCTGCTGCTCCTCCGCGAAGTGCGCAAGGCTTGCGAACATGGCTGATCTATTTTGGGACCACTTTCCGTTACAAAGTCGTTACAAAAGCAATTGCCTGCGAGTGGGCCCGCCACTGAGGAGTATCGGAGAGTTTTATCGCACCATGGCCAGAGCTCGCAGCCTGCTGGAGGGAAGCGACGGAGGTGCGATGGCTCGGCTGCTGCTGGAGGAGGGGAAGAAGAATCTGAGAGATGCTGCTCTAGCCGGTCAAGACCTCAGACTCCTCAAGGCCTCCTTTGCTCTCCTCGATGCGGCTGACTTGAGCTCAGCTCGACTCGACGACGCCGATCTGTCGGAAGCCTCTGCTCGAGGGTGCCGGATGCTGAAGGCGCAGGCTAGTGGGGCGAGGCTAAGAGGCGGAGACTGGCAGGGGTCAGATTTTGAGGGAGCTCAACTGCAAGAAGCGGATCTATCGGGCTGCAACTTCAAAGACTGCAATTTTACCAGCGCGCATATTGCAGGTGCAAGTTTGAGAAGCAGCAAGGTGGATGGCTCGAGATTTGAGGAGATTGATCCTCGAGCACAGAGATGCGATTTGTCTTTCGTCTGCCTGTCAGGCTTGTCGCTCAAAGGAATTGACTTCTCCGGTTCCTGCATGGAAGGCGTGGACCTCTCCGAATGCCTTGTGGAGCAGTGCGACCTGAGCAGGGTGAAGCTTGTCAAGGCAAACTTGCGGGGATGCAGATTCCTCGACGTGAAGCTGACCAGAGCAAATTTGTCGCATGCTCGAGCAGCTGGTTCGAGTTTCATCTCGTGCGATTTGAGCCATGCAGAGCTGGACGACGCGGATCTGAGGTACTGGAGGAAGCGGTAATGGTGAGAACTGACAAGACCACAACAACAGCAGCGCGACTCTTCGCTCCTCACTGTTCAGCGTCTCGGCTCAAAGAGCAACTCTTGTCCAGGTGGATGCCTGCGAGAGCATCTTGGAATCATGCAACTTGTCAGAGAGTGACATGCAGGGTGAGCGTTGACGCCCATGCCACTTTCTGCAGATCTTATTCCCCCCATGCTCAGGTTGCACGCTGGACAGAGCGCAAATGAGAAGGGCCAAGTTGAATGGGACGAGGATGGAGAAGAGTTCCTGCATAGCTGCTGACTTCGACGGCTCGGAGGGAGAAGGACTACGTGCGATGGTGATGTCAATTCGGATCTCAACTTTATTCTCTTGTCTCGGCGCCTCTTCACTTCTTTTCTGACTTCTGTCCACCAGAACTCAAACTTCTCCTCTGCTCATGTGACCAACTGTTCCTGGCGATCTGCCAAGCTCATGGGCTGCGACTTTTCGCACGCTCACTTGTACTCCTCCGACTTTTCGCATTCGGATCTGCAGGAAGTGAGACTGATACCTACCTGCCACTCTTCCATCCCCCTCTTCTATCTCCCTCCTCTATCTCCCTCCTCTATCTCCCTCCTCTATCTCCGCCTTCTTACTCCCTCCTGCTCTGCTTTGTCATCAGAATGTGTCCTTGTCCTCTCCTCCGTCCCAAACTCTGAGTTGCCAGCTGAGTCACAACAGCAAATCCTTCCTCTCCTCCGTCCCAATCCGACTCTTATTTCCTTCACCTCTCCATTCCTCCTCTCTCTGTGCTATCGTGCTCCTCTCGTGCACTCCATCTCTCCTTTACAGTATCTTGCCCTTCATTTTCCATTCACTCCTCTTCCCTCCTCCCCCTAGTCTAGTCTTCTCTCCTCGCTCCCCTCTGGTCCGTATCTCCTCGCCTGATTCACTCCATTCCACTTGCATGTGCATATTCTGTTCACCTCACCTGACCATGCGCAAGGCTCTTATCTTGCAAGCCTTGTGGGTGTACGAGCAACAAGAGGGCGAGGAGGGACCATCGCATGGGTCGGCACGAGAAACGCCCAGACCAGCGGAGCTTTCTGGGGCAAACCTGCAAGGAGTGGATCTAAGAATGACGAACTTGCGAGGGGTCAGCATGCACAGAGCGCGCATGGCGTATGCGAACTTGGAGGGCGCGAGGATGGAGGAGGCGGACTGCTCTCATGCGGACTTGACAGGCGCTTGCTTGACTGACTTGCGAGGAAGCAATGTGAAGGGAGCAAAGCTGCGGGTGATCGAGGACGTGGGGATGAACTGTTGATGCTGAGAAGCTTCTAGGGATGCTTCCTGTCCTCTACTGCCCTCCAGCTTGGCGCGCTGGAAGAGACGCACCCGGACATGTCAATGGTCCGGATGCCGAACGTCAGCATGTCAAACAAAACTTTCGTGTCGAAAACCTTCGATCGAGCTGATCTCAACCAAGTTGACTTCTCCTTGTCGAGCTTTCTCCGGTAAGTTGCTCTCTTTCTCACAGCCTGTTCATCATCCTACATAGATGCTCCTTCGTCCGCGCGAAGCTTGGAGGAGCAAAACTTGACAACTGCGTGCTGGAGGACTGTCGCCTTGACGGAGCTGACATGACGGACGTGAGCATGGATGGCGCAACCTTATCGTCTTGCTCCCTGCTTGACGTCTCCCTTGACCGAGCTCGCGTCCGTCGGTCTGGACTCCAGCTGACTAGCTTGACACGGGCAGAATCGAAGGGTGCGATCTGGGAGGACGTGGAGCTGCGAGAATGCGACCTATCCTGTGCTCGGCTGGAGGGCTCGTGCGCTTTCCAGTTCTCCGTGTCCTATCTGACTGCAATCGCAGAAAGTTCGCGAGGTCGAGGCTTGAGGGCGTGAACATGCGGGAAAGTGACATGAGGGGCTGCCAATTCGATGCCTGCGATGTCAGCGGGGCCTCGTTTGCGCGATGCGACCTGCGAAGGTCTCGATGGACAAGGTGAAGCTGTGGAAAGAGCAGAGCAGAGGCGAGAGCAGAGAAGCGCAGTGCCGAACAGAGTAAGGGGGGGAAGAAGAGGGAAGAAGAGAAGAGAGCAGAGCAGAGTAAGGGGGGGGGGAGAAGAGGGAAGAAGAGAAGAGAGCAGAGCAGAGTAAGGGGGGGAAGAAGAGGGAAGAAGAGAAGAGAGCAGAGCAGAGTAAGGGGGGGAAGAAGAGGGAAGAAGAGAAGAGAGCAGAGCAGAGTAAGGGGGGGGGGGGAGAAGAGAAGAGAGCAGAGCAGAGCAGAGCAAGGCTAACTCTGAGCTCCTTCAGCTGCAAAGGTTCTCGGGCTCATCTAGAGTTTGCCGACATGTCGCAGAGCTGGTGGGAGGAGTCCGACTTGAGCGAAGCGTTCCTTGCCGGGGCTGACCTGCGGGAAAGTCGCCTGCGAGCTGTCAAGGTGGAGCGCATCGTGTGGCAGGTAGAAGCGGAGGCGCGAGGGGATGGGAGAGGTTGAGCACGAGGTTTGACGGCAGGACGGCAACGTGAAATGCGATCTGTCGCGGGCAGACCTGGAGGGGATGGAGATGGAGGGGGCGAACCTCGCAGGCGTGAGACTGGAGGAGACGAACTTGAGGGCAGCCGTGCTGCGAGGAGCCTTGCTGGTGAAGAGCAACCTGTGCGACGCCAACCTCTGGTGAGTTGCATGTGAGGGAGGTCAGACGAGGATGAGAAAGATTGACTACTTTGCAGCGCTGCCTGCCTGGACCAGGCAAATCTTGCAGGAAGCGACTTGACTGGAGCAAGGGTGTCGTGTGTGTCGCTCAATGACGCAAACATACAAGGAGCAAACTTGACGCGGGTTGTATGGAAGAGAAAGGAGGAGGAAGAGGAGGTGAAGGGGAAGGAGCTGGAACTGAGTGAGGACTTTATCAGAGCGAGAGGAGCGAACTTCACAGGGGTGGATCTGACTGGCGCAGACTTGAGCATGGCAGACCTGACAGGCGCCATGCTGAATCACGCTGACCTCACTCGCTGCAACCTCAAAGACGCTGTCCTGACCAACACGCAGCTTTTTCATTGTGACGTCGAGCAAGCGGTGGGGCTGTCCATGAACTCAATCTTGCAGCTCCGCGAAAACAATCAGACATGAAGAGAGCACGAGCCACCGGTCTTGAGAAGAGAAAGACTTAATCAAGAGATAGGATGTAATAAGCAGCAACGATAAAGTATCAGATGTGCTCTTACAATCTTCCTTGCTGTACATTCGACTGAGTGAGATCACCAACATATATTTGTATCAGATAAGATTCAATGTAAGCGAATGCCATCTTCCCTGCTGTTCTTGCTCTCCCTCAACTTGACTGCCCTTTCTCTCCTCATCATTCGTTCTCGTGTTCCTTGGAGGGAACATTTGAGACCGTGACAGCGCGCAATGAGCTGTAGATCTGAGCCAGTCACCAGCTCCTTGACCATGGGATGTGATGCACTTGTGAAGGATCAGCGAGTGCGATACCGTATTCACGAAGAATGTTTGGAGATGAGTGCGATACCATATCATGATGAAGAAAATCAGCGCGATACTGCATTGATGAAGAATGTTAAAAAAATGTCCAACCTTGAAAAACAGTGGTGAGTTCAAGGACACAGGAGAAACAAGCGTTGACATGACATGAGATGGTTTCAAGGTTTTCAATTCAAAAGGATTTACATCAATCAAGCAAACTGAACATGTTTCAGCCTCCGATCTCAATTGAAGGGAGCTCGCGATGCAAGGAGGCCGAGGGAGTAGGATAAGGCAAGAGGGCTGCTGGACGACGGCAGAGACGCGTTGAGACTCATTTGGAGCGGGAGCAGAGACTGGAGTGACTGCTGTTGAAAGAGCGTCGCAGGCATGGCCTGACCTGTACAGTTGGCCTTGTACAGCGCCAGACTGAGGAGAAGAGGATTCGCCAAAAGGGTTCCTCTTGCATCACAAGGCGTGATTACACTCGGTTGCAAGACGGGAAGTTGCATGTCTTGAGATCCTTCGAGTCTTCGGGGGCTGTGAACAGCGGCGTCGCTTCTTGCTGCTGCTTCCGATTTCTTACTGGGTCCCTCCGCGTCTTCGTCCGACCCTCCAGCTGTTCGCCGCATGACTTCATCCTCCGTCCAAAGATGTCTCGTAGCTTCAGCCCAGCTCCTACCGCTCCACACGTCTCTGATAGTCTTAGGTGTAACTCCGTACCTCGGAGCTACGGCCTTGCAGTGAAGCATGCTTCCTCGTCGCAAATTTCCGCCTTTGCAGGCTATCGGCCTCAGTTTATAAATCTCCACAGCTTCTTCTGCAGTTAATTGTTGTCGCTTGGAGCTGGCAGGTTTAAAGGGACGGCGAGAACCGCCAATCTCTGTGCTCATGTTGCTCGCTGCGCGATCTGACGGGACGGAGTGCTGGATGTTTGAAGTTTGAACAGCCTGTCGCAGCAAAGAAAGCGCTTCCTCTGACACCCCCGCAGTCTTAGCGAGTGCAGACAAAGCATCCTCTATCTCCTTCCCAGCATCGCTGTCTTTCTCATAAATGCTGCCTCCATCACTTGCAGAAGGCCCCTCAAGATGAGAAGAAACGCGATTCATCAGAAATATCGTCTGCCCTCGAAACCAAAGCAAAGGCGAGCACCAGAGGTCAACAGAATACAGTCTGACGCTAAGATATGTAACAGGAGGGCTGAAAGTTAGAAGCAGCAATTGAAAGTTAGAAAAGCAATTGTCAAGGTAAATGCAAACGTGCTAACGCGACAGGAAAACCCTAGAGTGTGTCTTGAAACTAAAGCACAACAGCAAAGGCAGAAGGGGCGATCGGAGGGAAGAGAAGGACTATGGGAAGGAGGAGGATGGAGAAGGAAGCAGACGAAGAAGGGGAGGAGCAGTAAACGATCGGGGAGGAGCAAGCGGGGACAGGGCCGTGTGTTGCTAATACAAGGAGGCCATTCACAGCTGCCCACTGCGCATGAACAAAGACGGACGCGGACGCACAAAAATAGTACCCCCCACCCCTTCCTCTGTCGATGTTGAATTTGACAGGGGTGGTATAAATGAGGGGGTACCAATCACGTAGGGGTACTTTATTGAGTGTGAATTACATTATTATAGGGGTCACAGAGTGGGTGGCTAAGGTACCGGTACTGGCTGCCATGGGTATGTTCATGTACTACCCCTTCCATACGACCACCACCCACCCACCCACCCACCGACCCAAGTTTTGATCCTACCGATGTCCCTCGAAACTCCAGGGCTGTTGGGAGGTATCAATGTGGACACATTGGTTTACTCGTATTGGGTCCTAGCAAGATAGGACCATATCCTTAGGCTTGTGTCCCCAGACATTTCCTTGGACCTGGGAGATAGGAAAAAGTCTTAGGGTATTACGATCACCTATTACCAGGTACCCCATAGATGAAGATCTGACCGAGAGTTGTGTTTGCTAGGGGGTAGGGTGGAAACGGAGGCGCCCCTCCCAGATGGTGGGGTGATCACGGTAGAAAGAACGGGTAGTGCAATCCAAGTTGGGATGGAAGGCATTGCTCTGTCCCCCCGTGACCAATATATTATAATAATTATATATATGAGGGGTAGTGGGTGGTGGTGAATGGTACCGGAGTATAAGGAAAATGGATTGGGGTGGGGTGATCGAACTAGGGACCTAGGGATCGGAAGGGGTACATAATTTTAGGGATTGAGGGTACAGGAAAGGAACACCTTCGTGACCCACCTCTTCATTGATCACCCCTTCATTGATAGTCAAATACACCGGTACTCTCATGGGTGCCATGACATTCGATGATATAAGAACGAAAAAAAAGAAAGAAAAAGAAAAAAAGAAAATCTGATGACTAGGATGCATGTGTAGTAAACTTGAGCCTCTCCAGGTCTCCTCTCAGTAACCTCCCATTTGGTTGCCGGGCCCGGGCCCGGGCCCGGGCCCGGACGATCCGAACAGCTCCGATCCCTGAGGTAGCGGCTGCAATGAAGCGACTAGCCATGCTGCTAGCAATGGCACAAACTGCTGCGATCGGAGTGAAAACAGAAAGAACATGGCGTAGAATGACAGAAATGTGGAGTAGATGATATTGATACAAATGCGAAGAACGAGAGAGAATGAAAGGGAGAGGGGGGCGAGAAGACGAGATTGTCGGTGATCAAATATGATCATAATCGAGATGATCGAGATTATGATGATACAGATAATTTCGACGAGATTCGAACATGTCTTGACACAATTACCATAGTCAGCACCAAACCCCAAACACGTCAATGGAAATGATGGTAGAGATGGTTCAGAAACGAAGATCATCTAAATAGAAGCGCTCATGTGCATGACAAAGGTGATCGTGAGGAAGAACAAGAGAAGCATGAAGATAGTGACGATGAAACAGTCTTCGAAACGCGAGCGAATGAAATGATCAACAATGTGATGAAAATTTTATGGACAAGACAGAGGAATTCAGAGAAACGAGTGATGATATTGAGTTTCAAGATAAGCTGATTGATTTACTTCCAATGACAAAGGCAGTAATGCAAAACGACGGAGGTATGGGAAGAGAACATTAAAGGAGCAAGGAAAGGAGGCGGGAGTGGTTTGAGAAGGTAGTAGGTCTAGACGAAGGTGAATAGAAGAGCAAGCTATTCAAGTTGCAAACCTCACAGATAGAAGAAGTTCAAACACGAAGTGATGACAGCGAGAAGAGCACAGACAGAGCAAAAGAAAGAAAGAAAGACAGACAGACAGAAAGACAGACAGACAGACAGACAGAAAGACAGACAGACAGTCAGACAGACAGACAGACAGACAGACAGAAAGACAGACAGACAGACAGACAGACAGACAGAAAGACAGACAGACAGAAAGACAGACAGAGAGCATGCAATGCCAGGGAACCATGGACATCAACAGGTGGAGTGGAGGGAGAAAGCAAAATGGGAAGACTGATAAAGGAGCGAGAGCCAGTACAAGTTGGGCATTAAGTAGATTGCTTGAAGGCACGATTGATGCTTTGGAAGTAAAAGGAGAGCTGAAGGCTGCGAGGGGACAGCGGTGAATGACAACGTGAAAGAATTCACGGAGGGGGGGGAAATTGATAGAGAAGGAGGAGGATGCAGAACTTGAGGAGGAGGAGGCGGGACATTTTCATGCTAGTGATGTAGCTACTGATAGATGGAAGGCGACTGCTGCGACGAGTGCGGGCCGACGGAAGTGAACACAGTGATCATCTCGCATCTCGTGAAAGTTCGCAAGGACAAGTTGACGGTGATGTACAACGGCAAAGCAAATCACGCGCAGGATGTTGGAGTGAGAGAAACATCCTGCCGGCACCTCAACTCACTCGCTTTGCAGTCAGTGCAGGCCAATCGTCCCTTCTCCAAGACTTCGCTGGTCGGGTACTTTGAGATGACTGTCCTCAATGCTGGCACGCGAGGGTGGGGAGGCGAGCAGGGCGGCAGGAGCTGACTGACTTGCACAGGTGCATGTCCATCGGTCTTGCGAGCTCGGACTTCAACAACACGCGCCATCCGGGTTGGGAGCCAGGGTAAGGGGAGGAAGAAGACGGGGGTTAGAGGAAGGGAGACATGCTGAGGCAGATGTAGGTCGTATGGATACCACGGAGACGACGGAAAGAAGTACTGTCATCCTTCGCGCGGGTGAACGAAGGAGCCTCGTCCCCCAACTCACTCACATCTCAGCGAGCCCTACGCGTCCAAGTTCGGCTCCGACGACGTCGTTGGCTGCGGTTTCAACTTCGTGAGCAGGGAAATTTTCTTCACGAAGAACGGAAAGAGCTTAGGTTACCTCCATCCTATTACCCGCCTTATCGTACCCGCCCCTGCGCCTCCTCCCCCCCCCCCTCCCTCCTCCTCCTCCCCCTCCTCTGTCTTCGCCCCCGTCCTCGATTCCTCCCCTTTCTTCCCCTAGCCTCTCTTCTCATGACGTTCACACAGGTGTGGCCTTCACCAATCCCGACGACAGGTAGGATCAATCTTTCTCCTGCTGCTCGTTATGTTGATCTTTCTTTCTTGTTGTCTGCTCTTGATTTTGCTGTGCTCGTCTCCACTTTGTATCCCCTCTAACTCAATCGCTCTTCCTCTCCCTTCGTCCTCTCAACCGCTGAAATTTCTTCTTCTTGATTGCCTCGTTTGGTCATCCTCGTTCCTCTCTCCCTCATCTACCCCCGTTCTCTGCTCGCTTGTGCAGCTACTTCCCTACTGTCGGGCTGCACTCGGAAGGCGAGCAGGTTCGTCTCAACTTCGGGGACGACCCTCAGCGTCCCTTCCTGTTCCCGCTGGACCTTCTCCTCCGCGAAGAGCGAGACAAGATTACCTCAACTGTATCCAATGTGAGAGCAGAGAACGAGGAGAAGAGAGGGGAGGGAGACAGGGGGAGGAGGGGAGGGAGAAGGAAGGAGTGGGGCAGAGAGGGGAGGGAGAGGAGGCTGCATTTATACGAGGGTAGCAGGAGGGAGACATTGAGTGTGCGGGCAGATCCCAATGAGTGTGATGGACATGAACCGTCTAGTCGCCAACTTCCTGCGGCACGAAGGCTACCTCGACTCGCTCGTCTCCTTCCAGGTCTCACGCCGCACCCACAAACGAGCGACTGGAGTAACCCGCGATTCACAGGAATGCGCGATGCTGCCTGGGGGAGGAGAGGAGCAGTGGAGCTCCAGCGAATCTGAAGAGAAGAGAAGCGGTGAGAGGACAAGAGAGATAGAGACAAGGGCAGAGCAGGGGAGGAAGGGAAGCCGGCACACCGGCAGGGGAGGAGAGGAGGACATGACAGAGGCAACAGAAGTAATAGATAAATAGAGTAGGAGGGAGGTGGGCGAGTCGAGAGAGTTGATCAGGATCTAATGAATGCATTGTTTGTCCCAGCTATTCGTCAGCTGATCATTCAAGGAAATATGGACAAAGCGGAAGAAGCAATCCGGGAAAGGTTTCCGTCGCTGCTCGAGAGCAAGAGAAGGTGATTGCTGCTGCGGCTGCGGCTGCGGCTGAGAGGGTGCAGGGCCAAGGCTTTCATCAACGGTCAGAAGTTCATAGAGATGCTGCTCGCAGAGCGACAGGAGGACGCGATCATGTTTGCAAGGTGATGCGGGGGGATGAAAACATCTCCACGTCCTGACCCCCCGACACCGTCACCGCCATCTTCATCACTCCCTCCTGCTCCTGTCTCCTTTCCACCACCTCCTCTTTCTCCTCTTCCACCACGATCTCTTCCTGCTTTTTCACCTGCATCTTCGTCCTCACCCCCTCCGTCTATGCAGAGAAAACCTGGCCAAGGTGCTTCACGAGTCGAGCACCGACGTGCACATGGCCGACTGCCCCGAGGAGAAGCAAGGTCGCCCACCGACTTCAGAGATCGTCAGCTACCTCGAGGTGAGGGAGGGAGCGTCTACTGGGCTGTGACATGGCTGCAGGAGGTCATCGGTCTGCTTGCCTACGAGGACCCCGCAAACTCTCCGCTGTCCCACCTGCTCTCCTCCGAGCACAGGAAGAAGGTTGCAGACGTTGTCAACACCGCCATTCTCGGTCGGCCAGTGTCTCCCTGTGTTCCTGCCTGACTTGTGTCCTCCTCAAGAGCATGAGAATGTGGGGAGCCGCTCCGAGCTGGAAGTGCTCCTGAAGCAGCTGGTGGCCTGCCAAGACACCCTACGAAGAATGAAGGTGACAACGAGGGATAGAAGGGCATGGGAAGCGAGACGAGACAGGAGGCGAGATAGGGGAAATGGACGAGACAAGATAACGAGAGAGGGGAGGAGAAGAGGTGGGTTTGGCTGACGGGGAACGAGGAGGGAAAGGAGGGAGCAGAGGGATGACCATGTTTCCAGGGAAGCAGGGGCCCAAAGTTTGTACTGGAGGAGGCGATCAGGCGGTGAGAGGTTTATTCTCGCCGCCGCCCGCATGTGCCGCAGGTTGTTTGACGAGGGGAGGAGGGGGAGGAGGGGAAGCACAAGCCCTCGCAGAACGAGTCTGTGCAACGGTGGCTGCGATTAAACGCCTCGATCAGCTGCCGCTCCTCCTCGGGCCCTGCGACGCACAGGGGACAAGAGCAGAGGAACTGGTAGACCTTATGGAGCCAATCGCGCCTCTCCTCCTTGTTCTCCATCAGACTCGCGTCGCTGTAGCTGATGCACAGCTCCTCGCCTGCCACGATCTCTCGCAAGGTCACGACGGACAGGAGACGCTTGTTGCTCTCGACGCGTTGGACGATGGTGACATTGGGAAGGCAAGAGTGATTGAGAAAGCAAACTCGAGGGAAGATGCCGAAGCCTATCATGGCGACTCTCTTCCCTTCCTCCTTCTTCCATATCCCCACTGAGTTGCTCTGCTCTGCGCACAGAATGACTTCCAGCTCTTCCTCTTCGATGCGCGCAGAGAGAGGAAGCGCATCAAGGATGATGCTTGCCACTAGCGAGAGCTCCGATCTTCTCGCTGCAGGAACACGATCTTCGTTGGAAGCAAGACGGTCGAGGAGATCCCTGATCTTTGAACTTCCTCGTAGAGATTCTTCGGCCATGCGGCATAGCAACATGACCATGAGCCGAGCGAGCGGAACATCGTCCACCCTCAGCAGCTCGCGGTCCAATCGCATCAAACTATTGCACTCCCCGTCTCTGCTGCCCTTCCGCTGGTGCCTCTCCTCGTCTTCCCTCCAGCATTGCTCTGAGCACCACCATCCATTGCAGTCTCGACAGCTTCTGGGATGCTCAAGAGCCTCCCCGCTACCCATGCAGTACATGCACGTGCCTGGTCCCTCCTGCAGCCCCACCAGCACGAGCGCCTCGTCCTCTCCCACCACCTCCCCCCCTCTCAAGCCTCTCTGAGCCACCGTCCTCCTTCCCCGTCCCTCGTCTCTCCCCTCCTTGTTCTCCGCATCTCTCCCCTCCCCCTCCCCCTCGCCATCATCGTCCACCACCGCCACTGCCTCCCATCCTGCCATGCCAGATGCCCTACCACCACTCAACTATTGCTGCAGTACCCCTACCCCATGCACCAATGACCATGACCCTACCCACAACAATCCAGAACTGATTGGATAATACTACCCCTTCAAATGACCCCACCCTGATTTCAAAGTACCATCCTGGCTACCCCCATTTTGACCGGAATCTGGAGGGGGTACGTGGGGTACCAGGTAGATGATGTTACTCACATCTGTTGTGTCTCGTTTCTGGATTCCTGCCGGTGAAGGTGTAAATCTGGTCAATTGATTTGAAATAATTATTGAAATTGATGTTTTCAAGTATTTAATTTGGGTTTTTATCACATTGAATTCGAAATTGATGCAAAAGGGGACCCCAAGAGGAGGAAATATTGTCGACAAACCCACACCATGCAGGTAACCCTGACACACAAGACAGGAAGGCATTACAAGACATGAAGCAGCAGCAACAGAAAGTAAACTATCACAGTCATCATGACATCAACCATGACAACAGTGGCAACTATGACAACAAATATGAAAGAAATATGAACATCGGAGCCACTGGAGCAGCAGGAGCAGGATCAGGAGGAGAGTGAGCAGAATGAGACCGTAGGATCATGAAAGAGGATGGCTGAAATCATTCTGATAGAGATAGACTTTCTCAAGACCATGAAAACGATGATGACACGACTACGATGATTATCATTTTGAAGAAGAGAACAATTGAAGAAGAATGCGTAAGCGGTGCCGGGCTATGATTATCATCATCGATGATGAGCCAATGCATGGATGATCAAGAAAGAGGAAGAGATCGTAACATGATCATGACGAGCTGGGAAACTTTGTCAGTTGGTTGCTCTCACACCCCTCAGAATGGTGCAAGTCCCTTATCCTTTCCTTCTCTGTACGGATGAGGTCTGGTCCTGTGTACTCACCTCTTCCTACCCAGGTGGCATATAGTCTGCTGGTCCTCGTCCTCCTCCTGGAGCATGTGCATCTCTAGGCGACGGGGCTGCTGTGCTGATCTTCTTCCAGGTGCTTTGCTTTCACTTGCATCCCACAAGCCTGCAGAATTTCAACGTGGGGAGAAGAAGTATCAAGGTAAGCTAGATCCATCACCATCACCATCACCATCATCTAAGCTAGATCCATCACCACCACCACCATCATCTAAGCTAGATCCATCACCACCACCACCATCATCATCTAAGCTAGATCCATCACCACCACCATCATCATCTAAGCTAGATCCATCACCACCACCACCATCATCATCTAAGCTAGATCCATCACCACCACCATCATCTAAGCTAGATCCATCACCACCACCATCATCATCTAAGCTAGATCCATCACCATCACCATCATCTAAGCTAGATCCATCACCACCACCACCATCATCATCTAAGCTAGATCCATCACCATCACCATCATCTAAGCTAGATCCATCACCACCACCACCATCATCTAAGCTAGATCCATCACCATCATCATCATCTAAGCTAGATCCATCACCATCACCATCATCTAAGCTAGATCCATCACCATCACCATCATCATCTAAGCTAGATCCATCACCATCATCATCATCATCTAAGCTAGATCCATCACCATCACCATCATCTAAGCTAGATCCATCACCACCACCATCATCATCTAAGCTAGATCCATCACCATCACCATCATCATCATCTAAGCTAGATCCTTCACCATCACCATCATCATCATCTAAGCTAGAT